CCCCAAAACCCCAAAACCCCAAAACCCCAAAACCCCTCAGTATTCTTCCTGAATTGAAACAGATAAATTTTAATTAATATTTTAATAATTTTATTCTCAATGGCTCATCCATCTATCTTTTTAAAAGAAATGATATACCATCCCATCGCCAAATCCTAAGCGCTTTAAATCATAAATCATATATTCTCTAGGCCACTCCTTCCAATCCATAAATAAGCAAAGCCTTAGAGTTTGTTTTAAGTCTGAGTTAGAAATGGCTTCAATGAATTCCTCGAATCTTCCGGTCTGTCTCCTACTCCAGTAACTTCTCATTGTCGTTAGTCACTCTTCCATAGATAATGTTTGAATAGAGGTCTTTCACAGTGCTTTAGAGAAACCTGAATAATCTTTGCAATCTAGTGTTCACTTAAATAACTTGATATCCTTCACATGTTTGTATGCCTTAAAGAAGTTGACTAAGCAATACTCGTCAGTCTTTAGTTCCTGGCGTCGATTAGAGAATCTTGGAGGGTCTCTAAAGTTAAAATCTTGAAGTGTGACCCTTGTTTGCACTTTAAGGTTAGCTCAAGTGAACCCATCCATGAAAGGCATAATGCTAATAAGTCGGTCGGCTCTTAATTCTAAGTGGTTAATTTTTGTAGGAATTAAGCCATTTAGAATTGATTTTGCCAGTTTTGGGTGGTGTTGTGAAATATGTATTAGCCTCACTTCATCTAGTCTAGCAAGAGGGATTTTCTGAAGCTTTTTGACAAGTTTAGGATTTGAAGGGTCTCTACAATCGATAACGAGCTTATCATCAGGCCTAAAGTCATTTCCTTCTGTTCTGAAGTTATAACTGTTCATATTTTCATGCAAGGCAGACCAGACTTGGCTATCAAATTCAATAGTTTTCTTATAAACTTGGTTCTCTACTTTAGTAAAGATCTTTTTGTAATTCTCTCGAGCTTTCAGCTCTCTACTTCAGATTACAGCTAAGGGAACGTCTTTAGGGACGAATTTTTTGCCTGTTTTGATACACCTCTTCTTCTTGACTTTCTTCTTCTTGGTGGCTCCATAGCAGAACAAGTGGGCGAACTCCTTGATGGTCTCTCCGACTTCAGCCTGCAGCTGGGCGGTGGCATCAAGAATGGGAGGGAATTGGTCGGCGAGGGAGGCCCAGGAAGGACTGGAGAGTTGGGCGGCTGTCTGCAGCAGGGATTGGTGGATTTGGTGCAGCCGAGTTGAGTGGGAGTGGGTGGCAGGGGTGTTGTAGAGGGCGAGAAGGGTTTTGGAGTGGTGGGTCTGGGAAATGAGGGAGTTGAGCTGTTCTGAGATCTTTTGAGCGATTGGAGGGGGAAGTTTGGGGGTTGGAGATGATTGGAGAGGGGATGTTTTGGTAGAGGAGGGTGATTTTTGCATTTTTATTATGTTGTTAGTGTGGAAATTATATTGTATTTCTAGTGGATTTGAGCCATTGGGGTTTTGGGGTTTTGGGGTTTTGGGGTTTTGGGG